GCCATAGCCCCTGCCCCAGCCCAGGAAAGTGGCCAACAGCAGGTTGCTGCAGGCACCACAACGTCTTCCTACAGTGGCATTTTAGGTCTTTTTTTGCTTTGAACAAGGTCCCACCCCAGATTTTCTGCAGCATGAAGCTTTGAAAGAATTACACGTTTCTTGCAACGGTGTATGGTCTTGCAAGCTTGCTGCTGGCAGGGACGTGCGGAGCCCTTTGGGAAGCACCAGGATGTACAGCAAGGTCACTGTGGCTTGTGTTTCAAAAAGGAGATGACAAAGGCAGGCTGAAACAGCTCTTTGAAATGCAAAGAATTATTCAGGTTATTCATAATTTCATTTTTTAACTGCAAATGATTAAGTTTTTGTTTTTACCGGTGGCTTTTCTTATCTATTTACGGATCCTTTTCCTACCTATTTTCCAGAAAGCCAGACAAAGGGGAGGAAATAAAACATGTTTAATCAAAGATGTCTCCAAAGAACAGACTAGGAGTGTACTTAACTCACTTGGTCTGCAACATATGTAAAGAACCAAATGCCTTTCTGCTTAATGTGATTACTCACAGGCCTCCAGATGCAAAGGAAAGATCTCATCTTCTTACATGTAAGCATCTTTATGCACTGTAAGAATGAGATTATCGAGTAATCACTATAAAAATGAACTATCTCTTTTCAGGGCTACGTCAGTCACTTTTCTTGGCTAAATCATTTTATGCTTTTATATTAATTGATTGGAATACTAATAAAGTGATTTACATTTATACATGAACACATAGTTTGGCCATGAAAAATCACATAACTTCCCAAAGACAAACCTGAAGGCACATAGAGACAGTGTTGTCAGAGTGTGGCTTTTAAATGGAGTACATATGGGGTATAGAAACTATTGAAAAAGTAGTAAGTCCAAGTGATGGGTACTGATACACACTGACCATGACTATTCTTTCCTTTATTTTCCCACTCCAGAGATAGATGGAAGTATCTACCCTTGATGCCCTAAAACTTCAGCACAGGACTAACGGTTGGGTCGGTTACTCTCTGCCTGCAAGCAGCTGCAAACATACAGAGCCGAAGCGTCGAGACAGAGGTGCTCGGGGTGGCAGTGCCAGGGTGCAGCTCATGTCTGCTCTCATTGCAAACCAGCAATGCCTCCCCAGAGCATACGGTCTCACACAAGTGGAAATCTGCTTAGGTTAGGCTTAGAGATGCAGACACACTGAAAACTGGTGAGATTTTGTACATCGCATTCGTTAAAAATCCAAGTCACCGTCTCCAATTAATTTCTTGAAGACGTTCCTGGCTCTGGAGCACTAATCAGTCATTTGAGAGCCTGGCTTGCACTTGTTGTAACCGCCGAGGCGAGCCCCCAGCGCCCCGCTGCACACGTGCGTCGGGCAGGAGTTTGCAATGAAATCAAAATCACAGCAGCGGTTTGCAGAGCTCAGAAACACATCGCACATATCTATTGGGCATTTAATCCCTGGTAAACTGCTCCTCGTTCCTTTAGGAACTGGGACTCCAAGGTCCTCTCTTAGGTTTCTCTCTCCAGTATGAACCACCCTGAATGATCTCCCCGCGGAGCCGGCAAGGCAAGCGGAGGGTGCGTGCAGCAAGGGCTCGCTGCCGACAGCCCCGCGGGAAGGGGTGCCTCCCACCTCCGTCGCAGATGACTAACACAGCCGGGGCCCTGTGCAACCAAAAGGAAGATTTTTATCCTCAAAATCTGACAGGCATCATTAGCAACAGACATGGCTCACTGCACAGTGCCATCCAAACAGCCATGGAAGGAGTTAACGGCTTCTCCTACTGGAAATATTTCCTTGCCATGATGTCTCGCTTCACACTGAACGTTAAAATATTTTTCCACAGTTAAAGTGATGCTTCGCTGAGATCTCAGCACATGCAGTTGGGTTTCCCTATATTTGTATAAACAAGGTAAACTTGAAGAATTTGTGACTGAAATTTTCTCTGTGAGTTTCTCGTGACTTACGGTCATTAAATTCTTTATAATTGTATATTCTGCATCCAGTAAGGCCGCTGCAAGTTGGTAATTCATTGATACTGCTCTGACTGCCTGTGCAAGGGTTTTTGTGAAAAATATTTTAAAATCTCAAGTGAAAGCTTCTTTTTTCCTCTCTCCACTTCTCCTGTCATACTGATTTTTCAAATCCTGAAAATTTGTCAGGAAGAGAGGCAGCCAGCTCTGAGAGGGTGCCGCTTAAAGGCAGATGTCATCCCAGACTGAGCAAATTCCAAGCCAAGAGGAAGTACAAGGCTTAAAATGGGAATGGTTTTAAATATGAGATTGTGATCAGGCACCGCAGAAGCAAGGACAGATGAAACTATCATCTTCCAACTCTTCACTAAGAGGCAAAAAACTGGTAGTCTGGAAACAGTGCCTGACACACGGTGACGAGGCAGGAGCAAGGACTGCCCGGCCAACCTGCACCCACACGTGCTGAGTGGCTGCTGGCTGGGCTCAGGCGTGCACACAGCACCCCAGATTTCTCCAGCACTTTGACTTGGGAGGAACATCTCAGGGATGAGACATGCTCACACATCTGATTTGATATACACGTGATCTTGCTGGGTACATCAGCTCAGTGTAGCATCTGCCTGGAGCTGGAGGGTGCTTCGCCCGCCTCCTTTGCACAACGCGTTACATCCCTGAGGTGAATCCCGCAGCCGTGGGAAGCTGGTTTTCACTCTGTGTTTCCCTGGACCCTTGAATTCCTCCTGGCTCCGGCTGCTTGCTTGTCCTCTGCCCGGGGCTCTGCGTTCTCCCTACAGCTCCATGGCACAGTAGGACGCGCACCCACTCCTAGTCAGGCTGTGATGTTGCAATCATTGCACTGGGCAGAGACCAGCAGGGATGTTCTCCACATGAAAAAGGGTCTTTCCTCTAAAAATACCCAACACATTGGAGCTGGCAGTGCAGAGGAGATGCTGGAGCGTGTGGCTGGGGTAGGTGTAAGCTGAGCATAACCCTAAGCCACTTCCCAACACCACTCACTGGCAGGAGCTGCTTTTGCTCAGAAGGGTCTTTATATTCTGAACAAATAAGGTCATTTAGGCTTGGTTTAAAGACTGCGAAATTGCGAACAGCAGCTTCGGTAATGGACACAGGTTAAACAACCTGTAGATTCAGTTACAATCAATTACACAAAACAAATTAAATCAATGCCACGTTAATGCTGCAGCGGATTGCACCGTGCATCCTGTGACACACACGACTGCCGCAGCTGCATCAGGAAAGTCCTGGACAACGGCAAACGGCCACATCACAATCTGACATTAGTATTTTTTCTCTTTCCTTTTTCTATTGCTACACAGGATAACGTGGTTGGTCAGAAGAAAGAATTATTTTCCACGAGAAAATTAAAATGGCAGATCTCTGCAACTAAACCTTTGATGAGGCAGTTTGAAATGAGATATTATTTTATATACATTATTATCCACTGAATCAAGCAGAAGCAAGGCACTTTATTTATTTACTGTTTCTGTAGGGACCTCTTTATGTTGCCTGTTCTCTCTCTCCTCTGTGAAGATTTCCCCTCTTTTCCTCACCATTTTCTAAGGAGAGAGGAAAGGTTCAAACAACCCCAAAAAGAAGAGGATTCATTTCCTTTGATGTGGAATGAGAATTTTTCCTTCTGTATCAGTTAATCAGTTTTGAGTTATGCAAACTTAAATAAAACAAATTCCATCTCCTTGCAGCAGGAAAATTTTTCCCCTCAACTCCCCATGATGCTAAGATTACCTTCCTACAGTTTAATCTTTTGCTTACTGTTACTGAAGTTATGTCCTTTAACAGGCACAGCCTTTCTGCGCTGATGATTTATTTTCCTTTCTATTATATTGTTCTGATGCTCCTTATTGGTGGCTTTGAGTCATTTAAGGCACAAGCCTCAGCCAAATGTCTGGTTTCTGTCAATCATAAACTTACTTTTCTTAAATATAATAATAACCTTTAAGATTGTTCTTAAAGCCAGAATTAACACTTTCCTTACGTCAATCCTCACTAAACTCCCACCACCTTCCCTTTGAATTGCTCTTCACGCCACGATTTCAGAGAAATATTTCCTCTACCTTAGTGAAACCTTATCTTTGCAGTGACGGAGGAGAGCGTTCCCCGTGGAAGGGAGAGCGAGGCAACCCTACAGCCTGCAGATGCCAAGACCTGACCCAACTTCAGCGCAGCGGAGAACCAGTGCACAGCCCTTACCAGCCTGGCAAGACCAAAGGGTGCCTCACGGGGCGTGAGGCACTAACAGGTAATGGACAGCTAGGACAAAACAGCTCTCACTGGCTTTACAGTCTTGATTTATAAGATGACGAATGCACAGCAGCACTTGCTTTTTATCACAAGCCTTCAGGCATCAGTAAAAAGAAAAACAAGGGCGTGAACAGCCACAGCTTGATGGGTGCATAGAATGATTAACTGGAAAGTGAAGAATCTCATAAGCCAGCACGGAGACACAAATATACTGGGAGCTCAGGGTAATACTGGAAAACCAGCCACAAAATTCTCCAAAGCAAAATCATTTGGCTGAACCCAGCAGTAATTAGCAATAAGCAATCTCCCTGCCTAGGCTTTGGTCACGGGCAGAGTTTCATTTACCTGCTGATGATGCCTAAGATCTCCTCTTCCCTTTTTTCCCCACTGATGAAGCTCTGCTGCCACAGGTGTATGGCTTGGACCCCAATCCTGCAACCACCCAGCTACGCATTCATTATTTGTGTGACCACCATCACTGCAGGCAGTGGGAGAGAAGCGGTGAATCCCACAAGTACCTAGAAGCTTAGGACCGAACTCCACTTGCATATAGTCTCTGTTACTCTTGATGTTAAAAGCTTAAACCACTATTAAGATTAAAAAAAACAGATGAATGCAGAGCTGCTTTGGGCATTGGGACACTTGGATCTCCCAGACCACGCCACAGTCTCAACCACCAAAAAAGCAAAGAGGTTAAAACCCGAAAACACTGCAAGTGCACACTTACAATCAGAGGCCCTCTGTTGTTTTCGCGGTACTTGTTCTGGAAGAAGATATAAACCACGGTGGCAGCCAGCGAGTAGAGGAAGGCAAAGACTGCAATGGTGACGAAGAACTCTGCCGAAGAGGAGAAGTCCCCTATCAAGGAGAGCTTTTCTCGGCGCTTGCCTTCACAAGTGGGAGCATCGAAATTCACTTGATGCAACCTGGAAAACATCCCAAAGAGCAGCAGGTGAAGTGTAAAAAAAGGAAACCGTTATCTGAATAAAGATATAAATGCATTTGCTGTCTCCCTATCTTATTCCTGATGCACATTGATCTCCCGCTTGAATAACTGGCCCTGTAAGTAGTCTTGTGAGCTGTGCTCTTCAGAGCTGCTCGTACACGTGAGGTTACTTCCATCTGAGCATCCAGGTGAGACTGAGGACCTGAACACATCTTTTAATCAATCTCAGAGAAAAGTTGATGTTCCAATGGTTTGGTACCCCCCATCCCCCAGGGTTTTGCCATAGCAACAGCTGAAAAAGAAACTACTTGATTCTTGAATCCTTACAATCAAGGTGGCAGAAAACAGGTCTTATCCTCTAGACTGAGCCCATGAAATACCTGGGTTTGGAACTTCACAACTTCCTTGCATAAAATTGCCTAGTGCATGGCTAGCTGTGGCTGTTAGCCCATGGGGCTGTGAGCCATATAGTGCTTCTACATTAAAAGCTTTTAAAACCAAGCTGCAGCCGAAATAGACAACTTGGGTCAAAGAAACAGTCTGCACGCCCTGGTTTAAGCAATCGAAGCCCTAACCTTATACTCACGCACCATTTGCAATCAGCGACCAAGCTAATAGATTTGCGGTTCTGTCTGGCAGCTTCTGCTAGAGCCTTTTTTGCTGTAATAATTTTAATTTCCGATTCAGAGAGAGAAAGGGGATCCTTGGAGGGGCTACTTCGGCAGGTCCTGCTGCACGGCCCAGATTAGCATCAGCGGGGACACGGGGCCCAACGCGGGATCACGCTGTTCTGCTCCGCGCAGGGGGAGCGGAGGGGACGAAGCCAGCAGCAAGTTAACAGCAGCAATTAAAGAAGTTACGATTCGGCGCAGAGAAAGGATGAGGCCTTCTGGGAGACATTCCTCTGCTCAAGGGCAATTAGTGTGTGCAACAGCGACCCAACAGCAGCAGCAGCCATGAATATATGACTAAATAAAAAGTTAGGTCCCCAGAGGAAAACAAAGTACCCACAGTAGAAATCACAAAAGATGGATTAACGGATGTTGGAGGATTACATGACTTTTTGCTTTTCCTGGTCCAAACTAAATGTACCCGAACGCGTAGGCAGAACCTTTTCATCGGCAGTTGATGCGTAACGCCGGTTATTTGCCTCAGGCATTTTCTTCCCCGAGCTTCTGTCACTATAGTAGTGGTGGGATGAAAACAAGAAACACGTCTGCCTAGATTGAGGAGATGAGCAGCGGCTGAGTTGCCTCCCCTACGCAAACCCAGCGAAGTCTGATGAAAACCGAACACATGAGAGAGACTCTAACGCTCGCGATCAGACAGTTTCCTGACTCGGTTTCAAAGCTTCCTGGCATCAGTGCACACACACTTTCTGTCAGGGCTTATTGTTCTTTCCTAAAAGGGGGGAAAAAGGGGGAAGGAAGGTTTCCTAGTGCCTGTCATGCCGATTTTGCAGCCTGGAGAAAAAGTGGTTTTGTTTTAATCATCACCAGGATTATGGAAAGATTTGAAATGAATGATTTGCATGGTCTGAAAAGAAAGCTTTCTCTGCTTTCCTCACGCACAGCTGCTTGGCTGCTGTACTGACACAGAACGAAACTGGGAACCTGGTTCAAAACCCCTTGAGAACAGCAGCAGGCTCCGTGGGGTGCTGGATCAGTAAGAAACTTGGCCCCATCCCTCCTTCCCCAGGGGAAGGCAATGCTGTGCAGCCAGAGGCTGTCCTCACGGTCCTCCTCAGGTCTCCTCTCCAGGGCTTGAGGCTGGGTTCAAGCCAGGTTTCACCTTCCACCCGGCCCAGAGGCAGGGGGGACCCCCGCGATGGCTGGGGACCACCCCGTGCTCGCGTCCACCGGCCAACCCCGGGTCCCCTGCTCAGCCCAGACTTTGCAACGCAGCTCGGAGGCACATAAGGTTGGGTGTTCCCCCTCCCTCAAACCACCAAATGCTTCAGTAGCGTTTTCTGGTTCTTAAATAATTAACTATATTTGCTGTGTTTGAACGCCACGCGCGGGCACCGCAGCTGCTTGCTACGGGCCCCGCTGCAGCGTGCGGTATCTGCTTTTCCAGCTGCATGCAGCGGGAAGGCTCTGGCCCCTCACGGGGAAAGCCAGGCTTTGCTGCGATGGTGGGAGCTCCACGGTTTGATGTTACCACCTCACACTGCAAATAGGCTTTAGAGAATTGCTCTGGTCCTCACATTTCTTTCACAAGCCCTATGGAACTGAGCAAAGGTACATTAAATACAAGCTGATTGCTTTGGGGAAAAAAAAAGCAATGGAAGAATAAGGCAATTCTGCATGCGTTCTATCGTGTAAAACACATCTTTGGGGTAGTTGGGTTTTTTTCTCCCCTGGAGTCCTGACATAGCAGACGGGGCAATGCATGGTGTTGCATTGCAGGTCACACTCCTGCACATACCAGAGATGAAATAATTTATGGAAAGATTCTATCCAGATTTTGACCAAGAGCTGCTGCCCACCCCCTGCACCTCCAGCTGGCCTCAGTCACCACAGCCCCATCCAGTCTAATGACCAAGAACCCACCAGCCTTTCTGAAACATGGCAAAGCAACTGAGACCCCTTCCCTTTTCTATTCCCTGTTTTCCTGACTGCACCTTAGTTCTGAATCATGAGCCAGAAAGAAACATTCATATATTATATTAACATCTCACTCATATCTTCCCAGCAGTGTTTTGTGGCCAAGCATCTGCCAGTGATACCAGATCACAGAAGCTTTGTTCCATCAAGTTATTTTTATTCACTTGCTTCTCTTTTTAGATTTCCCTAGCCTGTAAGAGGATGTGCAGTAATTGGTGCCTCTTGTGGCCACCTCCCCTCTGCCCAAAAAGCCGAGATCTCGGCTGTGCAAAGGGCCCCAAAATAGACCATGACTCAGACCTGGGAAGAGGAGAAGGTGGCAGGGAAGCGAGGTGAGCCAAGCCCTGGGGTGGTTAGGGTGGATGCTGACTTCACAGGAGGCATTTGAAAAGTTTCTTTAAAGCAGGGGAGGATCAGTGACAGAAAATCCAGTTTTACCAATTGAAACCTCTTTGATCCAGAATGGCATCCAGATTTTTCCACCAATGTTGCTGAGTCAGCCTTTCTGGGCACAGGATGGCTTAGTGATTACTCACAAAAATTAATTGCCTCTACCTCTGCCTCCCACTTTTTATGTAATTCTACCTGTTCTGCCTCTTACTTCCTCTGACTTATTCTTCTTTCACCTTCTCTTATCTCTCATTCTTTACACCCCACCTTTTCCTTCAAGTGATCCTTGGCCAGTGTCTTCCTTCTGCTGCTTTTCTTATCTCCAGCACCACCACTGCATTTCACCTTTGCCTCTCCATTTCCCAAACAAAACCAGGGGCCCCAGGAGCAACCCTTTGCAATCACGTGCCTTGCACTTTATTAAACATCTGAGAAATACTGTTGGGCTGCATCAGCAGGAGAGATTTTTCACTGATTGACGGAAAATGCAAATAAGGAACACTTCAGTAATAAATTTACCTAATTAGGGAAAAAAGTAATGAAAAAGTAATGAAAAATCTTCCCTCCCCAAGTTCCTCTAAAAATGAGCTGGCCAGTGCTTTTTGCCTTGTATTGCACTGAGTATTGTTATTAATTCGGAAATAAAGCTGATGACTCAGGAACATGACCTGGCACCCCACGCTCAGCAGAGCAGCGCTAAGGTCAACCTCACTGCTCATTGCTACTGACACCATCCCCTTCGCCTGCTGGGTCTGTTTGCCAACAACAGCCACCATTGCCAAGCCATCCGGGTCTGAATTCCCCCAAATTCACTTCAATCTGAAGCAAGTCCACCAAAGGCAGTCAAGTTTCAGTGATGAAGTCACAGTAATTAAGGGCTTCTGAGGTTTCTTCTACCATTTGGCAAACTTTCCGTTGCCGTGGGAAATATGATGACAAGACAGCTGTATTGTTTAGCTTGACAAGATCAAAAGAGGGCAGGAATGTTTTACAGTGAAAAAAAGGATTTTTACATTGTTCCACAATAGCGAAGAGCGTTTAGGTTTTCAGACACTAATTACCCCTGCTCTGAAAACAATACATGAAGCCAGACATGCCGAACAAAGCTACAGCTGTTACATGTGCGTGGGGGAGCAGAAGCTGTGCTCTCCCTGTAAATGTGAAATTGCCTTTCTTCCCTGAACTTCCCTAGCACAACACTCAAGCCACAATTTACTTTTAATTATAGCCCCTCTTTCTTTAGAGCAGCCCAGTCTACCTGATGACCCTTGAGCACAAAAATGGCCTGAGCCAACCGGCCCAAAGACCAATGTTGTCCCGTGTCCCACTCTACCAGCGGGCACAGAAGAGCCCAAGCAGGAGAGCATGCACCAAGTGATCTAATCTTGTCTGACTTGCAAAACCTCCCCCTTCAGCAATGTACACAAGGGGGAAACCAACAGAACATGCAATTAACGGCAAGGATGCGCTCAAGTATTATTGATGAACTGGCACAGATTTCCTCTCCCAGGCTTTGATCAGCGCCTGAATTAATAAATAACAGAGCTCTGTCTCCAAAAATTCTCAATGGGGGTTAGTGTTTCTCCATTCCTTTACTAGGACGTGGTGAAAAACAGGCAAAAAAAGCTATCTGTTTTGGCAGGTTGTCCTATTTTCTGAAAATAGCATCTTGCAATCCACCCCCCAACCCATCTACAACATGCTTGAGCAAAATCTGCAACACCCACACAAAGTGCTTGCAAAAATGCAATAATCTGTTATCCTTTCATTGGGCTTTATTTCCCCCTCACTTGTTTCTGGTAGTTAAACTGTCAATTGTATTTACCATCTGCAAAGCAATGGGAGAAATACACCACTGGAAATTAGTTAGTTATTAGTTCCTCATGGAGGAATTTGCTGTGAAATGTTTATCTTGGCTAATAATCTCCAAAATGAAGGAAAAATGAAATTTCAAAGTACAATAGTGAAATGCTGAAATGCACAG